GAGGGAGGGGGGGGGCTGGACTTGATCTCCCGAGGTCCCTTCCAGCCCTAATGTCTATGAAATCTATGAAATTAAGCCAGGCATGGCCGCAATTAGCAGGGGATAATAATAGATCTCCCCGGCATGTGGGGAAAGCCCAAGGCGGGGGAAAAGCCTGAGACACTTGAGGTACGACTGGAAGCCAATTGTCTTAAGACCTGGTTCAACGGCTATCCTACCGATAAAAAAAAAAAGAGGAAGGAAGGAAGGAATCGCTTCAGGCTGATTATTTTACCATCCTTTTCCCGGGGCTTCAGGAACTGGGGCGAAGACCAGTGGTCGGTTGCGGTGGAGGCGGGTAGTCACCACCTCTCTTTCATTAACATCTCAAAAGAAAAAAAGAGCAAGAAAGAGATCTCTTCAACATCAAAGTTGTGGCAGGTGGGAAGATAGAGAGTGTAGCACCCCACCTACACTGACCAAAAGTTGTAGCCGCCTTGAGAGGGCCAGTGGATGTCAGCAGGTTGTAAAGGTATGCACCTGTACCCAGTGGCTACCCGACACAACTAATTAAAATAAGGTACTGTTCCACCTCTCCTAATTGTCGTATTTTCCACGCACAGTCCTAAGTAGATAGCTAGAGTCGTGTGTGTAGACTAACCCACAGATGTAGATTCCCTAGTCTGTATACTGTCAAATGATATAGCTCACATGAAACCCTACATGACTAATCCACACAGCACTGGTAGTTAGTTACTTTGTAGACAAAACAGAATCATAGATAATTCCTGTATCTTTAATCAAATGTAGATTTCCATATGAACCACTAGGAGCATACATCTAGACAACTGAATTTTGCTCTTAATCTTAACCTAACAGCTAAAAACATAATAATCATCTTGTACTTTGAGGCAAATACATAATTTTTCACATATTATATTTATTTACAAAGCTCTATGTATGTTCCTGAGTCAGACCTACTTCACCATCAAAAAGAGCCACAAACACAAATTACCTGACAGTGGGCGCCGTGATAATTCCAATGAAAAGAATTCTGCCCCAACTCAAAGGGTGGCTTGCTTGGAACACAAAGATATGTTTCAAAAAGAAAGTGTTCAACTCAGTCAGCTGAAAATTAAAAGAGAGTCAGATAACAAGGTTTTATGTCACAAACAGTTGCACACAAAACTCACAGGACTCCCCACTAGAGACTGTTCAGAAAATCCTCAAAAAGCACCTGGAAAGTCCTGCAGGGTATACTTCAGCACAATAACCACGTCTGCTGATTGTAATATTAAAGAGCCTCAAATCCCTGCTTTAGAATGTGCATACAGCTTTTGTGTACCTGAGGTAATCCAACAATAGTGCCAGTTAACAGGATCATCGTGAAAATTATGTCCCATTGACTTCACTTGTGTAGTTTTTATTAAATTTACTTATAAGGTAAGGTATTTCAGCAAGCTCTTAGCTTTGAAAACATAAGCAGCCTTACTAAAACTTCATGCACCTGAAGTCTGGCATGCTGGGGTAAGCTTGTTGAATGAGGGCCAGAATTCTGATTATCATACCAGTACATCTACAGAGGTTGGGAAACACTTGTCCCTCACTTCTTATAGTTCTCCATTCCAGCAGCTAACCACATGGCCAGCATGTCGATCTGTAACCATTTGTTTCTTTCACAGATACTGTAATTTCACTCCTAAATTAAACTATCGTCTAACTCAGTCATATAGCATCCAGATTAGTTTTTGGTATCAGTTCATTTAATTGAATATTTCAATGATGGACTGAGATAAGAATTTAATATCTTCCAGCCTAACACAGCCAGTAAGTAAAGTGAGCTGATACAAGCTCTGATTTAACATAAGTTATTTTTTACCTGCCAGATGATCATGAAAAGGTAGATTCCAGCAACTCTTTGAAATGAAGACTTGGGGTCAAACCAGCGGACATAGGTCCAGCTAGCTGGAGTGAACTGTAATACAGCTCTTTTGATTTTCCCTGTGGTGGTGTGAATGTCCCTGAAAGAAGAGAATGGCTACAGTAAAGACAAGGAAGAGGAAAGGAAAAAATGTGATACCTCATTATAGCTGTTCTATAACAAGTCATGATACAGTACTCTTTTCCCATTAGATTATTCAAGGGCAAAGGCTTGCATATGATTTTGCATTATAATGAAGGGTGTTGTTAAGAGACAGAACTCATTCAGCATTTCAATAAAGAGGCAATCTACTACAAAAAAACAGTGTTCTTTGTAACCAGCTAACTAAGTCAGCAGCAAAAGCAAAAATTGGACAGCACTGAAGTCTAATTCCAAGCGCTGTTGAAACTGACCACATTCAGTGACTTTCAAGTATTATCCTTTTTCCCTCAGGGAAAGAAAATAGAGGGACTTTATTAAAATGACAGATGTAGCAAGTTCCCCATTTTCATCCTGCTCTGCAATTTCACTGTCCTCATCAAGGAGAAGGAAAGGGCAATTCTTCTACTGACTCCATCCTTTAAGTACTTGCCTTAAAGTTTTATCTGTTTAGAAGCATATAGGACTCCTATTTCACAGGCCCAATTGCATCGCTTTGGCAGCACTCCTGGCATTTGCTGGACTATGACTGGGCTCAGTCTGGGCCCCTTGCATGGCAGTGTGCAAGCTATGGGACTAGCCATCATTTATATAGCTCCCTAAATTTAATATTTCCAAATATGGGAAGAAGGAAAGTCTTGTGTCTGGGTTACAATGGTTTTATTAACACCCATTTAATTCAAGCAAATGACAATCAGGGGGAAAGGTGAACTCGGAGAAAGCTGCCTAATCTCTCCTCCGGATGATGGCTGTGAGAGCTAGAAGTCAAGATATGGCCTGAGGCAATGTCACTATCCCACTCTAGATCTTTGCACCTCTAGCTGAAGCAGGAAAACCTAGATTTGACAGTTCACATATATGTTGGGGGGTATTTTAATTTGAGACACTGTCTTTAGCACAAAAGAAGCAGTGAAGAACATTTTTTCCTTTGCGATTCACCTTCACATAAACAACCAAGTCATTTACAATGTTAGGAATGTGCATATGAATCTAAGATAATGGAAAAAGAACTGCAGACAGTTTCCTTAACGGATAATACTGTACATCTGTACTCTATCTACATCTGCAATGCATCTTTTCACAAACTAAAGGAGCATGAACAATACACCTACATCTACAATACTTCCTCTACCTCTGATGGACTGAGATAATCCCAGGCCTCCTCCTGGGAAACTTCTCTAGCTAAAGGAGGTAGATTGATTTAGTATATATGTTCAAACTAAAGGGTAGTAGATTTGCGCTCTATTATTAGCACTGACAAATTCACTGCAAACAACTTTGGGAGAAGCACTTTTAAACTATTTGTGTTCCAAGTTTCCCCTGTAAGGCATGGACAAAAAGGCTTAACATCTCTGTAAAATCGTGAGAGAAACTAAACAATTAGGATCTACGCATGACTTATTACAGAATAGATTCTGTCTTATTCACAATGAATATTAGCCTGTTTTGCAAATGATTCCACAGATACTAACAGAGCCCTCACTACAGAAGGGAATCAGAATTTGACAGACTATAAAAGCTAGGCATTATTACTGTGTCACTCATTAGAGCAAGACACGCCAAACCTTTACAATTAGAAGGTTAAACAGGACAGACAATTCAGGTATCTGTGCATCTGGTTCTCCATTTTCTTCAAACAATGTTTTTCTGATATATAAGACTAAAAATTGACAAATCATTTCCATCATTTTGTATTCTTGTCATCAACTCTCACATATCTGATTACAAGCAGAATTTTACACAATTATAATTGAAAGAATGTGCATTAAACAATAGATGGTGCCCCAACATTATTAATCATTTTATAACGTTGTAAGCATACATTAACTACACCCTATTTCTACAGAAAAAGACTTTTGCATTAAAAAAAAAAATCCATTTCCTGAGGCACTACAAATTCAGAATTGTACACTGCAATATCAAACATGCTTATTGGCTTTTATTTTAGAACCTACTTGAAGCTTGCCCAGTGATAGGTCCTCATCTCCAAGAAACGACAAACTACCATGCCCAGCCAGATCCCACCTCCGTTACATAGCAGGATGTCCAAAATGACTTGATCCCACCAGCATTCAGCAAAATTAGGCAGAAGATGCATAAAGAAGAGCTACAGAATACAACAAAAAGATTCTGGGTGTGAAACAACATAGAATTCAAACAATTTTATAAGGTTGTTTTTCCTGCTACCAGTGATGAATGAATGAACTAAACATCTTATAGCTTACGCATGGTCCAAAGCCCACTGAAGCCAGTGGAAAGACCCTTATATTAAGCTTTAGCTAAAATCCTGATGAAAATACCTAAAGTTTCTTTCCTCTTTACTTTCTGGTGCCACACAATCTACAGGAATATAGCACAAATTTTGACTTTTGAGGCATAATTCAACATTGTAACACAAAACCATTTCAGAAATGCAGCAATTGTGCAGAATAACTGCATGCCTTTGTGGGAAGGAAAAATAATATTTTGTTGCTTTTCTAAAACCAAATATTCACATTAACAATCTGTTTTGCTTATCAATGTTAAACTGACTGCTCCCAGAACTTCCAGCAACATATAATAAGTAGAGGTGCATTGATACATCGGTCCGATATCAGATTGGCACCAGTATAATGAAAATTGACTGTATCGGGAATCAGCTTTTTTTGCCTGACATGACTGATAATTTGGCCGATAAATGCCCCATGCATGTGCACAGCATGTAGGCACCAAGGAGCACAGCCTGGCAGCTTGGAGAGCTGCGTCCAGCTTGTAAGTGTGTTGTGGTGAAAGGGGAGCAGGGAGGGAAGGGGTGTGGGGCCTGGGGCAGATAGAGGCCCCTGCAGTGACGGAGGGAGAGGGGCTGGGGCTGGGGCAGGGGCAGGATACAGCTGCGGCTTGTCTGGGGGGGGGGGGGGGAGGGGGGCTCCCACCGCTGCACACACCCTGAGAGAGCATGGGGGCCACATGCCCTCAGGTCTGCATGAAGAGCAGGTGGGCTGCCACTGCAGGCTGAGGCCAAGGCTGAGACTGCACCAGGCTTTTCCTGGAGGGGGCTGGGCCAGGCTGTGCTCAGGGT